ATAAGCAAATTGAAAATATATTTGTGGATATGTCTGGAATTATGTGTGGTTACATACTGACTGTTGTTACATGTTTGAAAGAATCAATAAATCAAATCAAAGTCGTTCTCAGAGAGGACGTGGTGGGCGCTGCCCTCGGTCAAACCGCTTCATGTCTGTGTGGCGCTGAAACCGCAGTGTCGGTGATTTGAGAGGAAGATGAACTGGTTATGAGGAAACTACAACCTCAGTGCTTGGCCTGTGACGCACCAAACCGGTGGCGAGCGTCTGTCGGGGTTCGTCTTCCCGGTGTGTCCCGCACCTTTGGCACTAGTTGGAGCCTGTCGGAGGCCGGGCCTCATTGATTAGACACAGACCTCTCTGACTGTTCAGACTGTTCAGCTTAGCCAGTCAGTGCATGAGAAGAGAACGGTTCAGGAAAGCCCTTCAGCCTGTCGCTGTAGTCTCCATGGTTTCACTTATTTAGTGCAGTTTCTCTTTGTGTTTCTCTTCCACAACCTCATTTCTTCTGCCACAACCTAAAGAGCGAGGGCAGAGTCAGGAGCAGCTGTTTATCTGACATACTGTCGGTCAGAAGCAGCTGCAAACAGCAGCTGGGCTGAACAAGAGCCGCTCTGTTTATATCCCATACTTCCACAGCCTAGCTCTGCTTCTTTCCCTTTCTGAATGGTGAATCCAGATGCCGCACCTGTTTCAGGCAGGCAAAGAACGTACGTGCTTGTCGGCCCTGGGTGTGTTCAGGTGCCACTTTTACAACCTGACTGGCTCTGACGAGGCCGATGCGATGCCACGCAGAAGTCGCTGCTGGTTCTGTCACGTCAGCTTGGTGTGGCTCTGCCCTTTGGAATCATTAGCTGGCACACTCACTCACCGCACCCAGATCAACAAACACCTGCTGTGTAAACTCTTCATGTGAACAGTAAACAGACAGTTTTACTTTGTTGGTCTGGGATCTGATTTATTAACTAGCTGTCAGGTTATTAGGAACTCCTGTGTCAGACAGAGTCAGTCTGACACAGCGGTCCTGCAGTGGATCCTCCTCCATGATTATGCCCAGTCTGTGTCACAGAACAACTGGTTCACCTGTGTGCTCAGTGTGGAGGCCGCAGGTTGTTCTGTTCAGCTGGACTGGGTTACACTGGGAGCTGGGTCTGGTGTTATGTCCACCCCATTCATATCTGTGAGGCTAAGTACCAGTTGACCAGCTCAGGTTGTTTTACTCCTTATGTAATAAAGCTCACACTGAGACCAGGTGGAAGCTCACCCGGTTAAAGGTGAAACAAACAATATGAGTCTGAGTCTTCAGTGTTCCTGCCACCGCCACCAGAGCGCTCAGTAGCTAGTTTCACCTCGTCCTCATCAAACTAAGATCCCAGCCAAACCATATTTCTGCTGTATATTGTGTAATTTGTTTGTTTTATTCACAGTCAGGTGTGGTTCATCCCCCCGCTTTGTCCTGACAGGTTGTTAATGAGGTGTGAAGGTTTGTTAGAGGACAGAGCTCTGTTGGTGTTAGGCCAGCAGTTATCTGTCTCTGAGGAGGAGGAGGAGGAGGAGGAGGACACAGGTGCATGAAAACATCTTCCATCCCTTTTCTGCTAATTGTCACTCTAACCTTTCTTGATATTTTCCATCCATGGATGTGCATTGTTGGTTTGTGCAGCAGCGGCCATCAGTATCTGTTTCCATCATGTTTTCTACAGTTGTTTTCACGGTTTGAGGTTTTTAAATACACCATCTCGTTGTGTTTCCTGCTGTAGTTTAATGGCAGCGAGTGGAGGATTAGCACCACCAGCTGTTTAGAAATCAGTGGGGTTGATTTGCTTTTTCTTTTGCCGATATTTGAACTTTGGTAAAACGTTTTGCTATATTTGGATGGAAACCTGCTTTACAGTTAGCCTAGCTTAGCATAAAGCCTGGCTCTGTCCGAAGTTTAGGCCCTAACCCGATGAACACCGTCCTCTCTCTGTGCAGGAACAAGGTGCTGAACATCTCGTCTGGTCTGGACGAAGCCGGGCAGGTGAACTGGGAGCTCACATTGTGTTTGATGGCCGTCTGGGTTATGGTCTACTTCTGCGTCTGGAAGGGAGTCAAATCCACTGGGAAGGTGACACAGACACACACTTAGTTGTGAAAGCATGAGTTTGTCTTTTTATTCCATCCCAAGCAGAAACTGATTTGCAATCATTTCTGCTCAGTGTGAAGATGTGTTGGGCCGCTCGGAACCAGGCCCCGGGCCTCTGGATCTCTGCTCACAGTCAGTCTGGTGCTGTACCTGTTCATAGTAATGCAGCCACAGTGCACAGCAGACAAAGCTCTCCCACTATTTAAAAGTAAAATCAGTCCCTGAAAACGTCCTGATCAACTTGACCACAAGTGTCGACCGATCAGAGCCTCACCGTTTGGCCCTGTTGACTTTCAGGTTAAAGTCTTAACTGAAGTAAAAGTGTGTCAATATAATCAGCCCAGTGTTGAACCTAAACGGCCCCTGTAACTGTCACACCGTCATTGTATTATCAGACTGCGACATCTCACCGTGTTCGTTCTGCTGTGAGTCGGGCGGCAGCTCACGGTTATTTTCATTCTGGGTTAGTCCACTGAATATTTTCTCTGGATTCACTGGTTTTGTCTGAACAACAGGCAAACCCTAAAATGATCACTTATTTTCTTACAACTCTTCAAAGGGAGAAACATCAAATCATCACATCTGAGAAGCTGGAACCATGACATGTTCTTGTAGTTGTCTGTCCACTGGCTGCTTCAGCTGCTCACTGTACAACAGAGCATCGTGTTTTTACGCAGTATGTTAGAGCGCGGCGTTTCCCTCAGAAGTGTAGTGACTTAGAAGTAGAAAGTGGCATGAAATGAAAATACTCGGGTAAAGTACCACAAATGATTTGACTGCTGTGAATGTACTTGGTTACATTCCACCTGTGTGTGTGTGTGTGTGTGTGTGAGCAGTGTGCACACAGCAGCTGTTGTAGCATTCTGTGTGTGTTTCAGTGAAATGTGATAAGTTGCTCGTGCACGCCGCTGTCACATGGTGGGTGGAGTGCTGCTCTGAATACAGGCAGACAGATCGGCTGTCCCGCTGCAGTGGGACATGAGCAAGACAGAAATCCTCACATACCGTACTGCATGTGTCCTCATGACTCCAGTTTAGTTCTGTTCTTGTCTCCTGCTCGAGTCTCTGGTTTCTACCCGTCTCTCCACCCTCCACTACTTTGAGCTCATAGTCACATAAATATGTTTATGTTTATGAATAAAACTAGATGTTTACCCGTCTGCCCTCAGTCGTCGGGTTCCCCCACAGATGGATCATTGTCATGACAAGTCTCTCTGTGGTGCCTCTTGGTAGTTGATTTCCATCTCTGGGCTCATTTTGCATCCAGTTTTAATAATGTTGTGCCTGTATTTAATTGTTTGTTTAGCTGGGCTCATTTTGTATCTCGCTCTATTTGTTTTGTGTGTTTTTGCAGTGATTTTGTCTCTTTGTTCTTATCTTGGTCTGTGTGTAGACTGTTTTGTCAGTTCACATGTCCTCATAGTCACAGTCATTTGATTGAGGTTTAGTCCCTTCACACAGACGGACCCTGGTCTCTTGGGCCCGTGGGCCTGTTCAGCGATCCATCTATGATGTGCTCGTGAGCTGACAAACGCCTTCAGAGTGCTACATTGGGACATCCACGGGCCTCTGCAAGGCCTCTCTTCTGCACAGAGTTACTTGTTGTGGAGAAAAGTAGCAAACCAGAAGAGAAAAGAATGAAAGACGGTGTCGCATCATCAGAGCAGGTGTGTGGGAAGGTTTCCAGCCATGCACTATAATTTAGGAATGGAAGTGTCCACAGTTAGATCCGTCTGCCGCCAACCCTAACCCTCCTGGTCAGGAAGACTTTTGCATGTATGTACATATTCAAGCACAAGTAGAGACAAATGAATCTGATGCTGTGTGCAGAAATGAGGCCCCTGGGCTCCGTGGGGCCACACTGTCTGCTGCAGCACTCCTGGTTCTTCGTGTCTCTGGCTGGAGGCTGGGCTCAGCATCAGGCTGCGGGAATAAGCAGACGCCTCCTGATGATGGAGAAGTCTCTGAAACGCATCAGTCCAGTGAAGTTATGGAATCACGTTAGCTTAAAAGTCTCACATGAACAGATGTGAGGCCTTCACCTCGTGGCCCTGGACAAGCAGGAGACAGATGGACCGTTGTTTGCGATTTGGTTGAATGCAAAGCAAGAAAAACCTGTATCACTAAGTGTGTAAACAACTGGTGGTTACGTAATAGTCAGTGGTTTTTATAAACACATACAGCACAGTGTCTTTAATCTGCAGGGAAATATAAAACCACATTAACGTCTGACACATGCACACAAACAGTAACTGTAGACAGACAGGTCCCCTTGGCCTCCTGGGAAAGGAGATTCTTTAACTATCAGTGTGTCACTGCAGGAAGGTAAACCGAGGAGCTGTGACCTGCTTTAACCGACGGCTGTCCTGAAACAGTCGAGGTTGCCCTAGTGCTCTGCCTTGTTCACGTATCTTGTGGAGGTTTGTCGGTGGTGGCTGAACAAAGCCAGTGAGGGTGACCAGAAAGGACCCGTGGCTCTCGTGGCTGCTGAGAAGGACATTTTATGATACCACAAAGAAACCAAAAAGCTAGAACACAAACCGCTCCTTCTTTCTTCTTACTAATCTAGCACACAGTACATGTTGTTCTGACATGAGTAGCCACTTTTTTTTCCTGGTACTTTAAGTATGTTTTCAGTTCGGTTTATTTGTATCGCACCATTTCACAACAGCAGCTGGCTCTGGGCCTGACACTGTTGTAGGGACAACCCAGCAAATCCCCCTTGAGCAGCACCAGCAATGCTAATACTTCAAAATGTAAAGTCGTAGAGTAAGCTTTTGAATGTTTGTAACAAAGTACTTTTCCTCTGTGGTAGTGGTACTTCTACTGAGGTAGAATATCGGAATGCTTCTCGTACATGTGGAGGGAAGTCTGCTGGCGACTTTATTTACTAGTGTGAACCATGTTAGCATGTTTAGATGTCATTTTCTAACCTGTGAGCGGCACTAACTAAAGTCCTGTCATCTCCTTGGTCCTGGAGCAGGGACAGATCAAATCAAATCAAATCAAATTTTATTTGTATAGCGCCAAATCACAACAAATGTCATCTCAGGACACTTTACAAACTAAGGTCTAGACCTTACTGTTATCAATATTATTACATAGGGAAAACCCAACAAATCCCCCTTGAGCAGCACTTGG